CTTTCATCAGTGGGATTCTCGCTATTTTGTGAGAAGAGGTAAGATATCGTATCGGAAACTAACATTTTCCTAAACTGAAAATGTATTTCTAATAGATACCTCTGCCTACATTTCCCACCCAGCCTCCCCACTTCTGATGATTTGTGGTGTAAGTCCTATGACCAATCTTGAAGTGATTTATAAGTGCAATTGTGGAGAGGGCACTGGCTACGATAAGGGTTGGATCTCGCTCCTATTGGTGGAGAGCTGCTGCATAATCATTTACATGTGGATATGCAGAAGCTGGAGGTGAAAGGCTAGTGGCAAACATTGAAAATTTGCACCGATAAAAGGCAGTACTAATCAAGAAAAGCTATTTTGTGAATGGAGGTATCTTTTGGAAATACATTTAAGGTTTTAGGAAACTGTTAACATTTTTACAGGCTTCAATCTTGTTTAATTACAGAGCCATCAAATAGAAAATCGGCCCCTCTTGCCATGTCCACTTGTCACATCATCTTATTCAGAAATTGCCAATAGTTCTCTCTGACACTTAATACTTTATTATTTGCAACCAATAGAGAGCCAAGGTTTTAATCTAATCAAATGATATATTATGTTGTTTTCTGTACAGAAAAATTTTTATTTTACCTCCAGTTCAAACTTTATTCCTATGGGAAATGTGTCATTAGCTGAACTTTTAGTGTCATTTGTCTCATAGTTAGAAAACCAGAAAAGTTGTTTTATAGTTATGGGACATTGTCTGCATCATGCATGTGATTATTCTATGTTCTTTGGTGTATTATTTAATCAAAGTATTTAGTGCAGTAATACTATTAGTATAAAAAAGTAGGGTTAAGTATCATTGACAGTTGACAGCAAAAAAAAAAAGACAACACAGGAAAGTACTTTATTTCTTATTTTTTATGTGTATTGTTTACTTATTGTCATAAAAGCAACTAAAATTTAATGATTAGAAACTTTTTAGGTTAGATTAAGTAAAATAAAGAGTAATATAAGTTTTTCATGAGGTATACTCATGAGCAACTGCAGAGTTGCTAATGCATTATGTTATTCAATAGAGTAAGGTGAGCTTCAGATTTAATGGTGGGAATATCAGTTAGTCATGGTTCAAAGGGCAATAATGCAATAAAATTTAAGTATAAATGATGTATACTGTTACAAGTTTACAATTATTTAGAATAAACAAATGTTGTTTCATGTTACAATTTGAAGTCATTCTAGAAAGAACAGATGTTAATTTTGATTTATTTTTAAGTTTTAAATTTATTTAGGATGCTTTAGAGATTATGCAAGTTAAATTTGAGATTTTTCAGATGAAGATAATTATTTTTAACCATAACATGAAAATTATTTTGCACTTGGAGCAGTCAACACTTTGAGAATACTTCATTAAAAATTGTGATTTTTTTGTCTACAGAAGACTTAATAATTACTAAAAGCTTGCAAAATTTCGTGAAGATATGCAAAGCATATTAGAAATTATAGTATGAAAACTATAATGGTCAGTTTGGGGTCATGAACTCAGTTTATTTGACTGGGCCTGTAGTAAGAGAGTTAATCGAGTCATAGGAACATTTGCACACCTTGTTCCTAGATTGGGGCTGAAGTTCCATTATTATGTGGATGATTGGCATCTCCTCACACCTCTATTCTTCTGCAAGTGGCTGTTTAGCTGGGCTAGCTTATCAAACCTTTCAAGTATTTTTCTTATGCCCACCCTATTTTGGTTGTTCTTCAACTCCCAGCTTAATTTGGCTCAGCTTTCACCACATCACTTATATGCAAGGGAATGTCTTGTCACCAAGGTCTGTGCTTTTCTTTTACACCCTGTGCATCAGGTTCCATTTCTTTTAGGTCTCTGGCTTCCCTTGAACCACTCATTTATTTAGACCACACACACGTGCCTATTCCAGTGTGACCTTTCTTGGGATCTGTTGTCTTCAGTTGAGCACCTTCCTTTTTCTCTTCATGAGGATTTGTCTTGGTGGCTCAACTATACCAATAGACTGTAAGCATAACTTTGACATCCCGTGAATGAATTTCCATCTTTTCACAGATGCTTCTCCGCAGGCTGGGAAGGTGGGGGGTACTTTCTGAACAACTACATGTTCAGAGAGTGTTTGGGCTCCATTGAGCATCCACTGCACATCAATGTCCTTGAAGTTCTCACCACCCATCAGCCATTTTCCCATTCCCACCATCTTCCCATGGATCAGTTGGTTATGATCCACTCCAGTTCCATGTATTGAACATGCTATTCCCATGGAGTTTGTCTTGTGGCTTGTCTAACAATGGAGTAGTTTCTCCACCCTCAGGTTTTTTCATTGGGTTTGTTCTCAGATGGTCATGCCTTTCATGAATGCCTTCACCACTCTCAACACCAAACTTCCCCTCTTCAGATCCCCAGTTCCTCATCATTCTGCCCTGGCAGTCAGTTATCTTAGCCAGGACTGGTCTCCCCTTTTTTCTGTATGCCTGTCCTCCTGTTTCTCTTCTTCCTTCTGTCATCACTCTGATAAGTGACAGTCCTTATCAGATGATGTTAGTGGTGCCTCTTTGGCATGCACAACCTTGATTTCCTCTGCTTCATCAGTTGATATGCAGACCCTCCCTTCATCTGCCCCATTCCCACTCTCTCTTGCTCCAACCTTGTCTCTTTCACCCAGAGGTGTTATCTCTTCATCTTGATGTGTGGGATTTGTTTAGTCCATTGCTCTCATGGCTGGACTCTCCAACTGTGTAGTTTTTTTTTCTTATCCCATTTCTGTTGTCCTTCAACTCTGTCCGTCTGTCAACAGAAATGGTGGGTTTTTACGTTGGCTATTCCTCCAGATCATTCTACTGTGGCCCACCTTTAGGTCTTTTTCACATTGTTGTTTGACCATTGATTGTGGATTTCCACTAGTCATGGTTCTCAGGTGGCTTTATCAACTACATTTAACCTTTTTGTTGCTATCAGATTTTTCTTCTCATGTTCTCTCCATATTGTTCTGATCCTTCCTTCTTCACTGATCCCTCTCATCCTACTCCCATACCTGAGTGGGACATTAATGTGGTCTAACATGCTTTTACACATGGTTTGTTCAAGCAGTTGGCTTTATGTTCATTGTAGTTTCTTTCTCTGGAGACATTTTCTTTTTCTCCTTGCATGTGGTCACTGTAGTTTGGATGTATATGCCATTGATGCTTCCTGCACTCTCTTTCACTGTACATACTTACTCCTCTATCCAGACCGGGCCTTTTTTCCTGAGACTTTGGCTGTTTGAAAATGATCATTTCATTGCATCATATTTGTCAACTGTTTCACTCTCTTGCATCTCATTTTCACCGACCCTCAGATGAGATCCTTCAGGCTGGAAGGTGGATGAATCTGCACACATTCCTTCTATGAGATTTTGACCTCATCCAGTCAGTGTTCTTCAATAAAACTAAATATCATATTTGAAAAGGGTAAATACATTTTCTTTTTCAACACCCTTTTCTTTTTTATAAGATCATGCCAGGTGTCTGATGTTGCCTCCCAAATTATGCTTATTTCCCCAAATTTGCATCAGGTCAGTGATAACAGAAAGCATTCAACCCATCCACTCTGTCTTTGTCAGTGCACACTGTTGAGATGGGGTGTTCTACAAGATCAGTAGAGGTATCCTTGTGGTATTAAAATTGCTCAATTGTCTTATTCTGACCATGCCATTCCATGAACTATAATGGAAAGAGTCGGGACCAGGGAAGTGATTGCCAGTTTCTTTGGTTCATGTTTGCTGGCTTTTAACCCATTCACTGCAGCTGGTACACTCTGGATTTTTCCCAGTTTCAGGAGTGCTTGAGGGTAACTAGCACATAGAAGATGGAAGTAATTGGTGATTGACCTTTAAGAGTTCTTCACTGATTGTGTATAGCACAATACAGTGGGAAGAAGAGCAGTGTTGGCACTGTCTGTGTTCTGTCTCAGACAGTTAATGTGCCCTCATTTTGCAGTGGGAAAGGTTTGTCATCCCTATCTCTGTCCTTCATGTTGAGTTGAGATGAGACACACACTGTATGTTCTGATTGTGCTCTAACCACACTACACTTCTTGGTTTCCTGACCACTTGTGATGGGTGCTTGGTTGGTCTTGATAAAATTCCATCCATCCCAGCAACACAGTGGGTTCTTTTGCCTTTCCCTCTGTTTTGTTCTGGGTGAAGATTATATCCTGGTCAAGACAAGATGCAGTCTCCCTGCCATCAGGTGACATGCTCCTTCGAGCACTTTCTGAAGGTAGCTCATCTAGGTTTAATGTAGAATTCTAGCTATTCTGTGTAAAGAGATGAGGTATCATTTCAGAAGATAACATTGTGCATACCTGAAAATGTATTTCTGATAGATACTTCTGCATACCTTCCACTTGTTTTCCCCACTTCTGGTGCACTTTTTTCATGCCCTGTTGAAGAAAAGTTATTTCAACCACAAGTGCTTAGGGGGAGTTACTGCACAAGAAGGTTATAGTGTTGCCCTCCTATTGGTGGAGGGCTGTCGTCGAATGATGGTGTCATCACGTGCTAGTGCAATTCATGTTAAACACGTAATTTTTAATTGGAAATAAGCTCCAGGCTAGTGGCATGCAAGTCTCATAGGCAGATGATCAAGGGAACAAGGTATTCTGTGTTTGAAGGTGAATATCTATCAGTAATACATTTAAGATCAGCATAATGTTATCTTTTATTCTGCCTGTGTTACTTACTTCACCAGAAAAGCTTAATGTAATATGTTAGACTTTTCACTAGTTGATGTGTGTGTGTGTGTGTGTGCTTTACTGGAAATTTTAAAGTTTAATACTTTTGATTCTTGAGCATAAGCTAAAAATAAATTAAGTAAAATTTATTCTCCAAGGATAAGAGAAACAGTTCATAATTTGAAAAAGAAAACAGAAGGAAGTCAGATACACTCAAATAATTTCATATATATTTGCTGTTAATTTTTTAATTGCTGTAAATAAGATTTTTTCCTTTTTATAGGCAATGCTTCAGAGACTTCTTCTTTCCACAAAGAAGTTTCCACAAGGAAAGGTTTCTTGTAAAGATGCTACTCTACACTTTGTTGACAGGTTGCCTGAGCATTGGACTACATCAGTGTTAGATGATGATATTCCTGTAGTATATAATGTTCATGGTATGAAAGATGGCTTAACCTTTGACCTTGAAAAGTATAAATCACATCTACAAACCAAAGAATTAGGCCAGATTATCCTGTATTTTGATACTGTTTCCACAACAATGAATATACTAGAAAGGTATGTTAATTTGTTTGTTTTTAATTGTAAAAAAAAAAAAAATTGGTTGGAAACTAATAATGAGACATCTACTTATACAAAAGTAAGACTCAGGCATGTATTTGAATCTAGTTTTAATAAGCTAAGTCACAAGAGCCTTGGAAATTGTTTTTGTCAAGTCATTGTAGGGTTAGTAAAATAGTGGTTTTAACTCTTTCCATACAGGTACACTTTTCTATGCATGTCATGACATTTTACCAAGTTACATTCAAAATTTGATTAAACTACTTTATTATAATGGTATATGAATATACTTGGCATCAAAGTATAACTAATAAGTCAAATTTTAATATTATATAAGTTTTAAGTTCCTAATTTTATATGTCAATATTAAAAAACAAATCCTCAATTTCCCTTCGTATGAGAATTGACATTTGCTCTCTAGATCTTTCCTCTTCTCTGATTTATGTACCACCCTTCCACTTCTCACATCCTTTTTATTCACAAATTGCCAATAGTTCTCTCTGTCATTTTATACTATATTATTTATAATAAATTAAAAAACAAAGTTCTAATCTGTTGAATGATTTATTATATTATGTTGTTTTCTGTACAGAAAATTATCTGTTTCATTTGCAGTTCAAACTTTATTTCTAAGGGAAACACATTGCCAAGCTTAGCTGAATTTTTAATGGCTCTTATTGCATATTTAGAAAACCAGAAAAATTGTGATAGCTATAGTACATTGTCTGTTTTTTACATGTTATTATTCTGTGTCCTTAGGTACATTATGTAATTAAATAAAAAAGTATTTAGTGCAGTAGTACCATTAGTATAAAAGGTAGAATTCAGTTTCATTGACAGTTGATAACAGAAACAAGAAGCCCCAGATAAGTACTCTATTTCTTATTTTTCATGTGTATTCTTTATTTATTATTGTAAAACTAATTAAAATATAAAAATTAAAAACTTTTTATGTTAGATTACGTAAAATAAAATAAAAATAATAATGAAAAATTTTCACAAGGTTTGCTCATGAGTAGCCCATGCTTTATGTAATTTGATAGGGTAATGTGAGCTATATGTTCGCTGAGTGATTTACAACTTATGTGATGGGATTAGTAGTTAGAGGAGTTCAAAGGGCAATAAAACAATAAAATTTAAGTAGAAACTGGTGTATACTGATACAAGTTTTAAGTTTTTTAGGATAAACAAATGTAGTTTCATATAATTTGAAGTCATCCTAGAAAGAAAAAAAGATTCATTTATATTTTTAATGGTGGTTATGAGGTTGTGCAATTTGACTAATGGCATATAGAGTTAGGGTAGAGAAAATAATGGATAAAATATAAAGTTTTACTGAAAAAAACTTTTAAGTTTATTTAGGAGGTTTTGGAAGTTACGCAAATGAAATTTGAAAATTTTCAGACGAAGAAAAGTATTTTTAATCGTAACATAAAACACTTTGCACTTGGAGCTGTCAACACTTTGACTTCATTTATTCACAGAGAAATTTTTCATGAAAATAATTCATTAAACATTCTGTTTTTTTTTTCTACAGAAAGATTTTTAATGCTTACAGAAAGCACAAAACATAGAAGTTATAGTATGAAAATTCTAAATTTACAGAATTGAGGAAAACAAAACAGTTGTACCTTTTACAAATACATCATTTATTCATGACCATGGTATAGACTGAAGTGTTTTGTAATATATATATATTATATTTATATATATGTTTAAACAAAGAACTGGAAGTGACCTTCACATTCAGCTAGAGACAAGTCTGGTAAGGAGTGGGGAGAAGCTTAAGTTGGTTTGGTCGTTTAAAATTTTTTTGGGTTTGTTTTTAGACTTCTATTTATTTATAAAATTTCCAGACAGTCTAGTTATTACCTTTTTCACAGAATGGTTATACAACAAAGTTAGTTAACGTTTTGTTTAAAAAATGTAAATCCATAAATTTAAAATCAATATATCCACACACTGCACCAAACAAAAAGAAAAAGAAATGGTTTAAGATGAGCTACATTGGAAAACCTTCTCACAAAATATATAACACACTGAACAAAGAAATCTATAGACCGGCCTTCTACTGTAAAAACAACCTAGGAAAAATGTTGTGTAACAACAAAGACAGAATCGAAAAGTACAGCAACAATTAATGTCTCAAGACTGTGATAGTGTATATATAGGTCAAACAGAACGTTCTATAGAAACAAGAATTAAGGAACATTCTAGAATTTGGAAATTAAGGAAAATGTATTCCACCTTATTGAAATTAAACACCAATTTGATCCAGAAAAAACTGCAATATTTTACATATCTGTGAAAAAAGGTAAAAACTAGACAGTCTGGAAATTTTAGAAATAAATAGAAGCTTTAAAAACAAATCTACAAAAAGTTCTAAACGACCAAACCAACTTAAGCTTCTCCCCACTTGTCTCTAGGTGAATGTCAAGGTCACTTCCAGTTCTTTGTTTAAACATATATATAAACCCTATTACAAACACTTCAGTCTGTACCTGATGATACCTTTACTGGTGAAACCATGGTCACAATAAATGATGTTTTTGTGAAATGTACAGTTGTCTTGTTTTTCCACCTTTCTGTAATTATGGAGTTTCACCAAGTATCGACAGTTTCAAGTATCAATCATATAAAACTCTAAAGGTTAATTTGGTGCCACGAACTTGGATGATTCGACCAAGTGCATAGTGAGAGAGTTAAGTGATTTCCTTTTTTTAGTTAATTTAGCATAAGAAGAAGTATGCCATGAAGCCATTCTTTTGTGTTAAAATTGTACAGGGTTTCAAATGATGGTTGGCATTCAAACATTTCAACATCATCTACTATTAAATAGTCATAGGTAATGAAATTTATCTCAGTAAAAACCCTGGAAAAGTCCAGAATTGATGATAGTAAGTTCATGGAATTTGTTGGGCCATATGAACTCTGTATAGGAATTACCAGAACTGAAAAAAAAGGGATTTTAAACTTAGTTTTTTTCCTTCTTGGGTATGTTTTTAGAGAAGACCTTAATGTGTGTTATTAATAAAAAAAAGAAAGAAATACTGGTAGGAAAAAGAGGGATATTGAATTGACATTTTATTTAAACTGGGATGCCAAATATTAACAAAATCTATTCTAGTAACATGATTGGTTTATTATTTAAAAAAAAAGAAATGATTATGAACTACTAATTACTAGTTATAAATACTTTTGTTTTTGAAGATAAATTTCAGTTTTTAAATATTTTTTTTCTTTGACTGAGAAAAATTCAAGCTAGATTGTTGACTATAACAGGTGTAAGTATTTGCATTAAAACTTTCAGACATGTCAAAGCTTACTGGTTAAAGTTGAAAAGCTATTTAATTGAAAGGTAAAAAAAATATTCATCAATTTTATCCACTCCTTTTGAGCCACTTTCTTATACCAAAATGTATAATATCATGAATATATAAAGATTTAATAGTCAGCACTCAAAAAGTCATATGAAGTTAATATAGATTATATATATCAAGTCTTGTAATTAATGAAATCTTTAATCTTCCAAGAAATAATGAACTTTAATATACATGTTAAACTTTAGAGAAAATTAGTTGAAAGAACATTTAAATAAACAATGAACTTTAACTTTTTGTTTCTTATTTCCAGGTTCACGGATGTAGGTGGGCTAGTAGCTATAACAAGGTGCCAAACAAAAGGAAGAGGTAGGAATATGATGTACAATCTGTTGTTGAACCTGTAATTGTGGATTATGTGTAGAATTCTCTTATTACTATGAACTTTTTAATATATGTGAAACCCTCTAAAGTTTTAAACTGTGGAAAGTAAATAAAATTATTTGTATTAAAAGTAAATACAAACTCTAGTAAAATTAAACTAATGGTGATTACTTTTTTTTGTTTATTTATTTAATCAGGTAGAGGTGGAAATCAGTGGTTGAGTCCTAATGGATGTGCAATGTTTACATTACATGTCAGCTTTTCTGTCAAGTCATTCTTAGGTCAGAGTCTTCCATTTCTTCAGCATTTGACTGCTCTAGCTGTGATACAAGCAGTTTGTCATCGTTCTGGATATGAGGTGGATATGTTGTCGCTATTTATGTTAATATTTTATAACTTCTGGGTAACTTCACTTCCAAATTCTGTCATAAAAGAGTTTCATTCTGTATGACTTGAATAATATTAGCATGAACATTTAAGTTACTTTAGACTTCTTCCTAAGTTAGAACTTTTGTTTATAGTTTACTTATTTATTTCTTCTAAGATTTTAAAAATGTCTTTTGACTAAAGAATTAGGATATTTTGGGGGATACACTTAATCAATTTTTTATTCAGTGGCTAGACAGTAGCTTAAAGCAGTTATCAAAATTGATGGACACTCTCAACAAAAAGTCACCAGAAACTTTTCAGTTAGTCCTGAGTTGTTAATTTCCAAAAGCTAAAAATTGTAATCATATTTAACATTATGAATCCTGGCTAATGTGTTATGTCTTTCACATGTGATGATATACATTGTGAATCGTGGCTACTGTGTTATGTCTTTCACATGTGATGATATACATTGTGAATCCTGGCTACTGTGTTATGTCTTTCACATGTGATGATATACATTGTGAATCCTGGCTACTGTGTTTGATCTTTCACATGTGATGATATATGAGGCCTGTGAGAAAAGTATCCGACCTTATTTTTTTGGGGGATAACCTGATGGATTTGAATCAAGCGCGCTTGCATGAGCCGACCTAGAACCTTCGTGCGCATGCGTGAATTTTTTCCCGCTTGTTGATTGTGTCAGTTGTTGGCAAGCAGCCATTGAGTGAGATAGTGTGTAGTGCTCTCGTCGGTTTTTCATTGCAAGGAAAATGACGGAACGACTGGG